TTGGAAGGGACCTTAGAGACCATCTGGTTCCAACCCCCCTGCCAGCACCTCCATGTGTAGCACCTCCCACCTGGTGTTGGTCTGTTAGAGCTGACATCATCCTTGGGTAGAACTGGACAAGGTGCTTAGAGACATCTGGTTCCAACCCCCCTGCCAACACCTCCACGTGGTGTAGCACCTCCCACCTGGTGTTGGTCTGTTAGAGCTGACATCATCCTTGGGTAGAACTGGACAAGGTGGATTGAGTCATCTGGAGATCCTGTCAGGCACGGAGCTGTATTCAGTGGTGTAATTCAGAGAGACCTTCGCCACCCCTCGTGCTCACTGCACACACGGCTCAGTGACACAGTGCCGTTACTGTGCAGTTACAGAGTCAGTCTGTTCTCATATTTCTAAAATAACATCCACCTTGGCATGCAGCAGTTCCTAACACTAAATAGTCAAAGACCTGAGAGAGACTCTGAAAGAGCAGGCACCACCGAGACACTTCATGGAGGAAAGCTCGCTCTTAACTCTCCATGGGAGGCTGGATATCCTGGAACATTAAGAGCTCAAAAATCATTTGCTTCTTGAAATGAAGTGGAAATACTTGGCATAAACTTAGAAAGCTGTGTTTGGTCACCAGCGTGGTTTGGAGGTCAACTTCAGAAGCCCTAATTAATAGGTTAATTAACCTATTAACCAATGCTTTTTAATTATTTCTTTATAGATGAATGGTCTCGACCTATCTTTGGCCTTACCTCAAACTACAAAGGCATGACAAGAGAAGAGAGGGAACAGAGAGATTTGGAACAGATGCCTCAGCGGAGGAGATTGAGCAGGTAGGAGCAGCAGGCAGAAACGTGAAGCGTTTCTTTCTAAGACTTTATCAAGAACAGCAAAGTGGTGTGTTAATGTTGAGGGAAATAGAAGGATAATGAATTATGACCTCTTTTTTTGTTTTTTTGTTTTGTTTTTTTTTTTAAAACCACACTTGACGTTGTTTAAAAGTTAGGATCTTTGTCTGTGTATAGATGCATGTAACATTTTATTTTTCTTTCAGCTCTGGTGGTCAGACTCCCCGCAGGGACCTGGAGAAAGTGTTAACTGGAGAGGAAAAGTAGGTTGGGTTTTGTTTGTTTGCTTGCTTGTGGGGTTTTGTTTGTTTGCTTGTTTTCTGAGAGAGAAAGTATTCCAGTGATGTTAACAATATGCAATTTGTCTTGAGCTTTTAGAGGCAATGGTTATGCAGCGTGTTTGAGGTACACGTGCTATATTGCTTGTACTTCTCTCTCCATAAGAGTCGTCTCTAGCAGTCACATCTCTTTTCCCACAGGGCTCTTAGACCTGGAGACCCTGGGTTCTGCGCTCGCGCGAGGGTGCCGATGCCCTCCAACAAGGACTATGTGGTCAGGCCAAAGTGGAACGTGGAGATGGAGTCCTCCAGGGTAAGCACTGCTGGGTGGGGGTAAGCTCTGCCTCTCCTGCTGACCATGCTCAGGCTGTGTTGGTTAAGCCTGGGAATGTCTCACCTTATTGCTGCTGTCCCTGTGCAGTGTGGCAGTTTTTAAGTGCCTCCTCTAATTTGAGTAGACAGCAAGCTCTGCTCTCGAGTGGGCTGTTTTAAGCTCATCAAATACTTTCACTTGGGCATCGTTGCTTTTCTTACCAAAAAAAGATGTTCATCTTAACTGTTATAGACAGGCCTCTTATTGTAGAGCATTTTGAACCAAAGCTGCAATTCAATAAGTGTGTCACTGATATTTCTATACCTCTCTCAATTTTTCTATCGTGTTTTTCTGATAATATTCCAGTTTGGGAAAAGGTATCTTGGTAAATATTGACAGCTTCAGTAGAGGCCTTTGCCTTGCTTTATTTGGTTCATCCATCTACCTTGTACGGTTTAATTTAAAAGTGGAGTACATGGTAGAACGTGGGAATGGAAGAAGTAATAACTGCTGTGCTTTCTGCTGTTGTGTCTCCTTCTGTGCATTAATTGAGATATTGTTTCTAGCCCGGGACTATTAAGAGAGGTATTAGTCGCTTGGAAAAACACAAGAGACGGTTTGCTGAACAGAAACGACTCAGCAAAGTGCATCGGGCCATCAAGTTCAGCATTGAAGGCAACAGGATGCCCCTGTAGCCATGACACTGCCTTCCCCAAGTTTGAGAGGTATCCCTCAAGGGAGGTGTGAACAGTGCATGTGCTTCAGCTGTTGGCAGTTTGCACATACAGGAAAGGAGTGTGAACACCCTCACTTAAACTTGGAAAACTTTGTGTTCTCTGATGTCTGTACTGTGACCTACAAGGTAACTTGTACAGGAAATACAGGTTGTAGCACAGAACGCCTGCTGTGATACCTGCCTCCACAGCTTCAGGGTACCCAAATGGCCGGTGTTAAATGGGAATGCCTGTACCCAAACGTGGCTCTGCACCACCTGTGGTGTTGGGTGCTGTTCTGACATAATTGGGATCTCTGGGTTTACCTGAACTGGAATTCTTAGCGCTTGGGTGTAGGACCTGATGTCACTGCACACCAACAGCCATGGCCGATGTTGTACTGGTCCAAAGTGCGGTGTTTTTCATGCTACTCTTTGAAGAGGTTGAGTCTTCAGGGGTGGTTGCCAGGGGGCAGAGAACGAGACTTCTGCAGAGCAGGGGGAGAGGAATCCCCTGGTGTGACCTGGGCTGGAGGACGGTCAGTCAGTGGCTCAGCAGCGTGGGGAATGTTGTGACAAGTGGCAGGGCTGCCACGGGAACAGGCTAGCACAAGGGTAGATAACTGCCGAGTTGAAGCTTCGTATTTATTTCTTTAAAAAAGAATTATTTTTTTAAATCGCTGTGAAACTGTAGATATAATTTCAATGAACAGTGGATAGTTTTATGAATAAAGTTTATTTAAAGTCAGTGTGGCAGGAGCGCCTTCCTCAGTGATGGAAACGAGGTTGTTTCCAGTATTTTTTTGGTCAGCTATGAAGTAGTGTGTTCTGGATTTCTCTGTTTCTCCAGGATGTCAAAGGTGTGAAGCTTCTATCATTTGTTGTTTCTGTTGTCTAGTTAAGGGCAATTGCTCTCTAGGCAGTAAAGGCTATGGTTTGGAAGGGCCTTGTTTGATGTTTCTTTACAGAATCACCATATTTAATCTGTGAAAAATAACTGCTGTGCCAGCTCAGTTTTCCGCTTACAGTTAAAATACAGAGTTCAGACGCAATAACTTTTCTAATAACTTGTACGGTCAGCTTGGGCATTTCTTTTGCTTCCCCCTCCACCTCTTTTCCCCCAGTAATCTCTTGCTGTATAAATACTGATCAGTGACCTCTAAGATAAATTGCAGTCTGGAACTGATGTGGTAACTCAATCCACCTCATGCTGTGTGTTGGTACCTAAAGGTCCCCCCCCAGGCAGACCTGTGCAGTGTGTGACACGGGTGCAGTGTGTGACACGGGTACACAGTATGTTGTGTGCGTGACACGGTGTGAGCGCTGCGTGTTGCTGGCACTAAACTGCAGGCAATGCAGATGCAGAACTGGTCCAAACTCTGTGTTTGGCCGGTTTGTCCACAACTGACGTGGTTATTAATCCCTGTCATGTGGAAGTTTGATGGTGTGCTGTCTGGGGGACCACTTTACCCACTTTGCAGGGAGAGGGTGCATGAAAACACACACACACCCCCCCAGGCCCTGCACAGCCCCCTGCACCCCCCAGTACCCCCATCCAGCTGGAACCAGTGGCTCCACCAGTTCCCTCTTGCAGGTTGAACCTTGCATGCATGGCTTTTCTTGAACCTCTGGGATGTCTGCTTTTTTTCAGTGGTAATTATTAGTTTTATGTTTTAAGTTCCAGGGGACCTCTAAGAAAGGGGTGAGTCGACTGGACAAACAGATGCGGAAATTCACAGATATCAGGAAAAAAAGCAGATCAGCCCATGCGGTGAAAATCAGCATTGAGGGCAATAAGATGCCATTGTGACCCTTCACAGAATACCCCATGATCTCTGCTGTAAGACAATGCACCCATAGACTCTTTGGAGACCTTTACAGTTTTTAACAACTCATTTGGGTTTTATTTTTTAGTGAATCTTCCAACTGTTGGTTCAGGTTCTGGCATAAGATGTTGTCTGAGGACTGTGAATATGGGGACTTCTTTCTCCTGATTGTATTTAAACTTCTCTCCTGTGTCCTTTGTACAGATCACGTATTTGTTGTATTGCAACACCTTAGACAATAAAACATCTGTTTTTTTTCTGGGGCTGTCTGTTGATTGCTGAAGAGGAGGGAGGATCCTTGTGGAGCTGCTGCTCAGGTCGCTGTCTCGGTGCTCTGGGCATATTTAGCCTCCAGGCTCAGAAATTATTTCTCTTTGCTCAGGTTTTGGATGCCCAGGCTTCCTTATTTCCTTGTTAGCAGAGGGGCTATTCATTAACTTTCACATGCAATGCAGATTCAGAATTAAAGTTACAGCTACAACTCCCCCACTTCTGAGGCCTGTGAGATGTTTAGGTCTCAGTGAGCCTCAAACCATACCCTTCATACTCCCTTGGCACACAGAG